CGACGAGCGGATCGCGAAGCCGGCTGCCTGGGATGGAAAAGGGCCTCCATGGATCGGTGCAAGCCGGCGAGGGACTGGGGGAGTTTGCCTGCTGCCCTCAGGATCAAATTAGCATGCAAAAACTCTCCTCTCGTAACCCTGTGCTGCCCCAGCAGCCATTAAAACACTCCATTTAGGTTGAAACGGGCCAATAAATTACGCGAACCTGCGCGAAACGATGTGAGCGAGGGAGCGGTGGTACCTACAGCCGGAACAGCGAAACAGATTCCCCCCTCAAGATCCCCCAGAGCGGGATTGCCCGAGCCTGGCAGTCTCGAGCGAAGAGCTGACCCGCTTGCTTTACGCACGCTGGTCTGTTTGAATCGCTTCACGTTTTCCCCCGCAGTTTGCAAGAGTCTATAGAAACAAGGCCGGTCTTTTCTTATCCCTCTCCCTCGATTTTTTTTTAATCTTCGGGGCTAAGGTTCACCCCTCGCTCTCCGGAGGCGGCTTTGCCCTGCCTCTCTTTACCCTGCCAACTGGGCTCCGCTCCTCGTGCATTTATAGAGGTGTGAAACTAACCTTCTGTGTTTCACAGCTCCTGCCAACAGCTTTGCCTGAGAGAATTTGTTCTTGTTTTCCACTGCCTTCACGGGCAGTTTCTTCTCAGTTTCCTTCTTTGGGTCCACGCTGACTCCCACTTTGGTGAGAGTGCTGTGAATTAAGGGTTAAGGATCAAGCGGCAAGGAACGGAGAGAATACTTCCTCTCCGATATATTTAGCCAGCTCCGCCGACGGCGACCAAAGATCATTCACACATTCTGTCAGAAAAAAACTTACTGGTAACCGCATTTAGCTGCTGCCTTTGGCCAAGAGGCTTCGCCCTCCGGGTTCGGAGCTCTCTCAGGTGTCGACACCGGCTCTCCCTGTAAAGACGACCAGGGAGCTGCTTTTCCAAAGTCAGGAAGGTATGATGCGCAACCTGCCTGACGCCCATCGATCAGCCTTTTCCTAAAAGCCGTAGAAAAGCTAAGAGGTCAGCCTGGACTAAAACAAATAAAAGAGAAAAGCAACACCTACGGGGATCAACACAATTCAAATTGGCTGCTTCAACGCCTAATCCTTACTGAAAAAATTAAGTAGCGACACAAGGCTCGCTCCGCTCCTCAAATCCTCCTCCTGGTATTTATCGCTCCCAACTTTTCAGCTCACCTCACCGTCAAAGCCATGAGGTGACTGCCCGTCCCAACACCGACCCCACGAGGGAGGCAACGCGTTCGTCTCCGGGCGCGCGTGCTCCAAGCTTCGCCCAAAAAGACGGCGGCTGTGCCGAAAAGCTCGCAGTGGGGCAAGGCGGGACGCAGCTGAAACCTCTGATGAGGCGGAGATGCTGGAGCAGCTTCTCGGACGGGATAAGGAGGAGCTCGGTCTGTTTTTAAGGCGCGCTCGCCCTGCACACACACGTCCAGCCGTACCGGACGAAGGGAGGCCCATCAAACCCCGCGCTTGCTAACGAGGCGCCAGCAGGGTCACGAAAAGCCTCTGCAGACCATTGAAACTGGGTGCAGCGGAGGCAAACCGACCTAATTTTAAAGGCTGTTTGTTTGGAAGCCTAACCCTAGCTTTTCACTGCTTTGTTCTGACTCTATTTCCACCGACCAGGCGACAGAACCACAGGCTGGAGCGTCACCGCTGCGCCAGCTCTTGTGGACAAACATCAGGCCGGGAATTTCCCATCGTATTTGAAATCACGTTCGGTTTGGGGCTTTTTTTCCGCCCTCCTCCGAACACCTGCAAACCCAAACCTCTCACACCTTCCTCGGAAGCGACGCGCTCAAAGTCTCCGACCGCTTTAGGACTAGCGGCGCTCGGAGACCATCCCTTATTTCTTTCCCGAAGGATCCGGCAGCTCAAACCTGAGAGGCTTCGCAGCCCGAACCAGCCTGCTCACATTGAATTATTCGATGGACGGCCCAGGAGTGCCATCCTGTGGCTACCGGAAAGCTCGCTGCACCCAGCGAGACACGGACCCGCACGCCGCAGCGTTCGGCTCCGTATCGAGCCTTGTTACTTCGTTATATCTGAATATAAAAAATAAATAAATCAGTAAATCTTCAAGTGCTGTCAGGCCAGCGGGGTCTGCCCAGGTGAAGGAGCAGAAAACCCCGTAGCTGTTCATGCGGCAGCGGGTAAAATTCCTGTGCATCCATGCATATGAAGTTCTTACGCTCGAGAGCACGTTAAAATATTCCAAGGCGTGTTTATCTTGAAGATACATGTTTTCATGACTGTTTGACCTAAAAAATGAAGGAAAAAAGCTCCGCGCTCACACATCAACGTTGGTTTTACTGTTAAATTAATGCCTCTTGGTAGCATCAATCGGATGTTAGACCAGAGAAAAGGCTAAATCAAACCCACCGGCTCGACATTCCTCTTATTAGTTGGGAAGAGCACTGGATAGATCCACCACCTTTAACTGGTACCCACTGGGTTTTGTCACTGTGGTGACAGAAATCCTTAGTAACAACACGTGGGTAAACCCTCAGTAACAACTCGCAGGTGCAAAACCGCCTTCTTCACGTTTTAAAAGAATACCAGCCAAAATTTCAAGCGCGCACGAGCCATTTTGCAAGCTGCTCCGAGACGCAACGGCTAAACAAAAAAAAAAAAATAAAAAAGGAAATGGAAAGGGGAAAAGCTTCTCGTGAGACGAGTATGTAACTCCCTGCCTCCCTCCACCCCATCACCGAGCAGTTCTACAGTTTAATTCATCGCAAGGTCTCAGCTACGGAGCCATAGGATCTGACAAATAAAGAAAACAGCCTGAAACCACCAACCAGCTATAGCCTGAAGTAAGAAAAAGAAATATATTAAAAAATAATATTAAAAAAACCTGCATTGGTAATGCTTGAGATATAACTTAGCTGCTCTTCTCAGAACACGAGCTCCTGGTTGTAACTCATTAACTCCTACAAGGCAACGCAGCACCGGCACTGCTCAGCTTTATTATTTGCTGACCAGTTTTGGTCCCCTCCTCGTGTCCACAAACTCTTTCACTGATGCTAAAGCATCCTCGAGAACTCACGCTTTCCTCACTGAAAACTTCAAAGCAGGAGGCAAAGAAGCCGGCAGGTTCGGTAAACCTCAAGAAAACACCAACCCACTACGTTTAGGAATCCTCAAATCATTCCAAGCTCCCCCTGATTGGAGATAAAAAGCTATTTTTCTAGCACTGACCTGCTCTCAGGACTGTTCTACCCAATGGAGCCAAGTCTCCAGGGGCACCAGGTGAAAGCCAGCGCGTCTGCCCAGGTGTACAGAATTTCTCCCCCCTGCAGGTACCAGCAAGGGAGAAAGCAGCTCAGACGTCGAGAAGACTCAAAAAAAGAGAGCAATTCAAATGGCATTTCGAACGGGGACGTTGAAAACCAGCCAATATGCAATTGAAGAGACAAGGAAGAACATTTCCTTCCCTCTGAGAAGACAGAAGCAAAAGATTTGAAGTAACTGGCCGAGATCCAAGACATTAAACTCAACAAAACTCGTGCAAAGTTCTGCGAAGCACTTTTCTAGACAGACCCTCCGTGACTGAATGAAACCACCCAGCCCCTTCCCCTCCTTCTCCGCAAAAGGATATTCTGTATTCGTTCAGTTCTTTCAGCTCTTCCTCTCTTCGTTGCTTCTCCAGGAGCTCCTGCTGCCGAGAAACCTCGTCGAGGAAATGTGTCTCGTCTTCGTCCAAGCCTCTCACCATGTTTTCTGAAGAAAGGAAAAGAGCACGTGTCAATAAGGTAAAAACTGCTCTGGGGTGGAAAAAAATTGGCAGAAGGTCACCGGGACCACGGGGAGGAGGGTCCGGGGTGACCGAGGGAAGGGTACAAAGCAAACCCTGCAAGCTCTCTGCTGAATTCTGTAATTAAGGGGGAAAAAATACTTCCCAGTTAATGAAGCTGATTAATTCTCCCCGTAAATCTTGCCTCAAAATGGAAGTACCTTTTCTTAAAGCAAACAATTAGTAACTTAACTGAGAGTAACATCTGGTTAAAGAAAAAAAATAGATGCAAATAACTTGCAAATAAAAATAAATCCTTCCTAATCACGCAGCCCCACTCCAAGGAAAGTACATCCTACAGCTGGAGGAGGTTCTTTTATTTTCCATTCTGCAGATATTCGATGTCCCTCCATCGAATGATCTCGTTAGAAAGGCAAGAAAAAATGATTTCTTTTTTTAAAGAGCCCAAGTCTCGCTGTTCGCAGTCATCCCCAGAAACCTGCACCCAAACATCTCCTTTAGCCTTCATTAGAGCTTAACTCCCTCAGAGGATCTGTATGGTTTTTACGGGAAGTTGCCACACTGTTTGTCATTTTTGCCCACCTCATCAAGCCCTGCTCACTTCATTGGCAGAGTAAGAAATTCGTTTACACTGAGAACTGCCTTCGACAGAGAAGCTTAAGAAATCCACTATTATCTGAGGTGACTTTTTAAAGGCTGAGCCTCCCCCCACCCCCGCAAAAAAAAAAAAAAGACTCCTCCTCTTTTTAGTTACCGTAACTGTTCAAAAGTTGAAAGTTGCATTTTAGAGAAGACTAAGATTTTCAATTAAAGTGCTCCGGCATTCAACCATAATTATTTTACTTTGGGAAGGAAGACATTCTTGCAATGCTGAATAACTGAGCAGAAAGAAGAGCTGCCAGTCTGCAGGCAAAAGGTTCAGAGTAGCAAAGTTTGTGTGTGCTTCCACAAACACAACTCTTCAGCGTTCGGCGTTTCTCCTCCCAAACCCCACCTTCAAAGTAAAGTTCTGCTGTGCCGCGCTCACCAGAGAAATTCGAGACAGAATCCGGCTGGGCAAACCGGAGTCTGAGGGTAAAGCTTCCAGCTGAAGAGCCCAAACTGATCAGAAGCCACCTCAAAACGAAGTCCTGCGGTGTCATCCTCACTTCTCTCGAGAGAAACCAAACAGCTCCCTTGTCCCCCAATAATAATAATAATAATAATCTCTAATTCTAATAAGCTGAGCATTCCCTGGCTCTCGTCAAGGCCTCTGCACTCAGCAGCGCTCACACAGGCGACGCCAGGCAAAGGACTTGTCTACAAAGCCAGAAATTCACACACCGGTAGAAATGAGGTTTCACTTTCACTGGAAGAGTTAAACATCTACTTTCTGAAGATTACTTCTCCCAAACAGTTTTCTTGGAGCCTCCGATCACTTTTGCATCAACTAATCGCCATCTGGGAACGGAACGGCTGCCGGAACAGGGTTTCTTCTCATCGATTCAAATGGAACGGTCTCGCGTCCCAACGCGAGCTCAAGGGTCACAAAACCGTGTTCCATTTCCACTTTTCCACGGACTGGTATCAGGGTTTGGCTGGTTTTTGTTTGTTGGGTTTTTTTATTTATTTAATGTGTAGTATTCTACACTTTACAAGAATGAAGCTTCACAACTGCAGGCAACTTCTGAATTTTGCACGTGTCATCTTGGTGGCCAGAACCGTACAGTATCTGCAGGAACCTCTACCACCCTTGGAAAATACAAGATTTCAACCCTACTCTTCTGAAGCCTCCTCTCTCAGAGAAGAGGACAAGACACCCAGGTCTGGCCCTCAGGCAGCCGTTGCGTACAGCTGCGGCACGCTGGGGTTTGGTTCAAAAGAGTAAGTGGCGGCGCTTACTGAATTTAAATTGCTCCTCAAACTCCTGCTGCTTCTTTTCTCTCTGCTCCTGGAGCCTTTCGTACAACGACCGCGGGTCGTACGCCTCCTCCGGGCATTCTGAAAGGAAGGAACAAATCAGGAAGTGAGAAACACAAAAATCACCACAACAGTTCTTAATTCCTTCAAGTAAAAATCTCTTGAACTTGCACAATGTAGGCTATGACCTTTTAGTTCTCTTTCCTGGGAAATATTCTCTGATCTCTTTCCTACAAATCATTAAGATCTATCCCATACCTTCTGGATCCTCAGGTTTTCGGACCTTTTCCCATTCTTCTTGCCTTCTCTTCCGCCGCTCCTCTAGCTCCGATTCGGACACAAACCTCTTGTTAATCACCAGGTCAGCAGTACCATCTCCCCCATCCATTGTGGAACAGCCCGTCCTGAAAACATGAGACCGAAGACATACGGAGGCTTTGATTTCACTTGTCAGAGCACGAGACATTACTACTCATCCTGAAAACCACCGCACTTACAAAACTTAGTAGTAAGTACTGATTGAGATACCTACTCACGGCATAACTGGTAAGACTAACCGCACCGCCTGGTACTCCTTCTTTACTCTTTTTCCTAAATTATGTCATCCCCATTTAGTCCTGCTTTTAGAAAAGTCCTATTTTAATGGAGTTTTTCCCCACTCCGCTTTTATTTTTGGAAACACAAAAACAAATTAAAAAACCCCCCACACCTACGCTCGCATCCTTTTATTTCAGTTCTTATGCCTCCGCAGAAAGGATTTGATGCTTTGCCCTCAGGTTCCCCAAGTTCTTCGCTCCCACCCTGGGACAACTTGGGGAAGCTCGGGCGTTCGCTGCGACGCGAACACATCGTTCCCAAACGCTTCGCAGGGAAGTTTCAGAAATGAGCACCCAAACTCTCTAACCTTCAAAAGCACCCTGCACCCCTTGGGCAGGCTTGGGCAGGCTATGGGTGGGGGACATGGATTGGAAAAGGAAAAAAAAGCTTTAATAAAATAATAGCAGCGCTGATAAGGAGATAAGGAGAATAATGAAAAGATTAATTATATACAAAATTGATATCGAACCCCGCTCCCCTCCTGATAAATCCTCACTGATGTTGCAGAATCAGCAGCACCAGGGCAGCCCCAGGCTTAGCAGTGGCAGGAGCTGGATTTGGGAGCTGGATTTGGGAACTCAAGGTGGAGATCAAAGGAAGGAGATCGGACAGAGCCCTCCTCAGACACCGGCTGTTGAAGAAGAAGAGGCCTTAACCCCTCTGATCCCTCAGCTTGACGCTGAATACGACGTGTATGGAATGCAATTCTCCTGCTGGTCACCTGTCCTGTCTGTAACTCCCTGGAGGTGCAACCTTTTACTTCCTTGTGACCCCTCTTACTTCCCAGCACCCCAGCGTGGCACACAAGGGCCAGCAGTGACCTCAGTCACTACCGGAGCAAGTACCAGCCAGAGCCTTTCTGCACCCACGTCCCTGGCAGTAACTACAAACACCAGGTGTTATCACTTCTAGCAACAGGTAAAACCACATCGTCATCTTCAGAAAGTGAAGGGACTGAGCAGGAAAGTGAACAGAATTGGTAGTTTTAGCCCCAAGCAGGACCCCTCAGCACACACTCCACCCGCCCTCTGCTCCAGCACCGAGCACTCACCACATCCTTGTTTCAACCCTCGGCGCAGGGTGGGACGTTCCAAGGATCTGCCCTAAGCAGAAAACTCACCTGGAAGCCCGGGATGAACCCACCGTTTGTGCCCGGCTGACGTGGCTCACTTACTCTGCCAGCTCCACGTTCCAGCAGGAGGCATTAACGCCTCTTTGGGATTCCTACACCAAGCCTGCACGCACAAGAACAACCTAAGCACAGCACCCATTCAAAATCACAGTAACCCTCAAGCTTTTTCTTACAGTTTCTTCTTATTTCCTTGGTATAATTTCAGCAAGAGCTTCAAGAACTACAGACAGCTGCTCCCTGCACTACCAGGTCGTATCCATTTATCATCTCAGCCTTCAGTTCTGGAAGGGAACGCGGAAACTTGCTCCTCCCAGGATGGGGGGATGCAGGAACCCAAATAACAGAAGGAACCAGTTTATCGTCGTACCACAAGGAAATGCTCCTGCAGGAAGCAGAGTCCTGAAATTCTTACTGAAATTAATGTTTTTTTGTGAGTGACTGGCATACAGACGACAAACTGAGGTCGCAAGACAGGCCCAGGTTAGAGCACTAGAGAGAGAATACAGCTGGATGAATCCTTAAAATGGAAATTATCAAAAGTTCTCTTAAGGGAAGAACAAACAGAGCAAGGGCTGATGATTTTATTTTGTTTTTTTACTTTTCTTCCTTCCTAACAAAAAACACCTCACCCTACGACAAGTGCACTGTCCAGAAAGCACAGAACACCCAAGTGTCATTTCTGAAGGTGGTTCAAGCACATGAAAATTGAATCTGCCTCCTGAATACAGGTCCTAACCACAAGACCAGCTTCTCTACCCAAGTGCTATTAAAAAAAATAATAAAAAACCCTGCCTCTCAGCTTGTGTCATCTCAACACGAGAGGAAACAAAAGGCTCCAATATAACAGCGACAGAAAGTTGTAAAAACAAACCGAAAGAGAAGGATTCAGCAAGGACATGAGTGCTACCTGGGGACTAAAGCCTTCGACAGCTCTGGCGCAGCCAGTTCACTCACACAACATATTTGAAGATACCTGAAGGGGATTAAGGCTTAATTATGACTTGATATACAGCTACGCTATTTTCACGACAATCCTGGAAATCGGTGTCTGATCAAACATATTTTAGTGACAAGCACATCCCAGGGCACAAGGATGTGGAGGAAAAAACCACAAAGCTCAAGTGCGTCACATTTAAAGCCACCTGCACTTACACAGTTTGCTAATCTCGCTGTATTCTTCGCCCTCCCCCATCTGAAATGCACAGGAAATCTTCCAGATGAGACAAAACATTTGTTTGGTAACTCTGCTCACCAGTAGTTCTGTCTGGCGTCTGTAAAGGACACAAGCTAAAGGACAAAATCACCCAGACTGGAAAAGACCTTTAAGATCATTGTGTCCAACCATTAACCCGGCACTGCCCAGCCCTCGACTAAACCAAATCCCTGAGTGCCGTGTCAACACGACTTTTAAATACCTCCGGGGATGGGGACGCCACCGCTTTCTCGGGCAACGCGTTCCAATGCCCGAGAACCATTTTGGTGAAGAAAGGGTTCCTAGTATCCAATCTAAACCTCCCTTGGT